AGTTGGAATCATATACTTCTTTGTATGTGTTAATAGAATTTCTACTTCTCCTTCATTTGTTCTAGAGTAATTGATTAAAATCTAATTAAAAATATAGGCAAGTAGACTCACTTAGGTAATAGAAACATTATTGTGGCTTCTCATAGAAGCTATTTGCTCTTCTCAAAAATTGTGCCAAATTGATATAAAATTAATTAATCTTTTCATGAGGATAAAGTAGACAATTCGATGTAGAAATTAGATATTTTTGCAAGGATTATCAAAATATGACATTTTTCATCTCACACCCCTAAAATTGGACATTCTTGAAAATGCCTCCTTATTATTACATTTATTTCTTAATTTTTGTGTAACATTTTTGTCGCTAATCTTCTATTACTTTGCACATTTGATCATTGACAATAGTTCCGTCCAAATGTTGTGTTAGGTGCTTTAAAATAAATGACATATATATATATATATATATATTCTTTCACACTTTTGCATTTGCTTCTTTTTTCTTTTCTTTTTTTCTTTTTAGTTTTTTAATAAAAAAAATATGACAAACAATTACGTCGCCGCTTAGCTTGTAAAAACTCGGCCCATGGGCTGCCAAGGCTCGTGGCTCACCGTGCACATTGACCAAAATGGTCATTTTTTCAAAAACGGTGACCGTTTGTTTGGTCAATTTTTTTATTTTTTATTTTAGTTTTACGATCGTTTGAAAACAGTCACAGAACTTTGAAATGGACAGTTGGGGTCCTCTAATTTTTTATTTTTTGCTTTTCATCTATAAATACCCCTTCATTCTACAATATTTTTCTCACAACAAAATCTACAATGTCTCTCCTACTCTCAACAATCTCTCTCTTCTCACAACATAAGCTACATATTGCGATTCTTCTACTCTAACCTTGACAATTATATTAAAAATTTACAACCAATTAATCCATATCACGATTCAAAATACGTGTAGTTATTGATTTCGCTTCCTCAAAACTTTCAAGAAGGTTTTCGAGGAGGCAGATCAATAACTAAACTAAACACATAATTTTACATATGTCAAAATTGCATGTTGTCAATATCATGTAAATCATATTTCATTTTGTCATATAGATATAATCAAACTTCGTTTTTTTCTTCTTAATAATATTTTCATTCTCGGAAAAAAAAAATTGTACAACTAACAAGTTATTTGTGTATAATTTTAACTCTCAATCTACTAAGAAAAATTTGCCAATCCCAAATCCGAATTAAAATGAGGTTTTTATTTAAAAAAAAAAAAAAAAAAAAAAAAAAAAAAAAAAAAAAAAAAAACCCCGGGGGACAAAGCAAAACAAAACAAAACAAAACAAAAAACAAAGCTCGTGGGCTTGGCTCGTGAGACCACGAGACAAGCCAAGCTGAGCTCGACCATTGATAGACAAGCCACGAGCCGAGCTTGTGTCAATGATGGTCGAGCTGGCTCAACTCGACAGTCTCGACTCATTGCTACCTCTACTTCGCTTTCGGAATGAAATGTTTGGATAAAACCATCACAATGATAGCTAGCTCCTGAAAGAGATTGCAAGAACAAATACTAGGAAATTTGGCCCATGTAGAGGTAACATTCGAGCCGAGTAGCTCATCAACTCGGATCAAGAAAGCTCGGACAATGGGTGGCTTGAGCTCGTTTCGGAACGTGCCCAAGTACGAGTTGAGCGTGCAAGACCATGAGCCTCGTGGCTCACCGAGCCAAACGGTGACCAACCCATTGGTCAAATTTTAAAGGTTTGTGATCATTGTTAAAATGGCAACGAGCTTTTAAAAGGTTTCAAACGGTCTCGAAATTTTTTTGCTTTCTTCTATAAATACGTGAAAACTTCACAATTTTTCCCACAATACATTCAACAATCTCTCTACCATTCTTTTATTATTCAATTTATTCTACAATTCTTCTACTCTCTGCAATTATATTATAATTCACATACATTCTATAAGTTTAGTTACATTCAAATTTCAATTATATTATAATTCACATACATTCCTTTTGACTGTACAAGAATATGTGGCGCTGAACCTGACTTATTTTGGCCCATTTTTAACCTCATATTGTAGGGTAGATCTTGAAAGATACGAAAGATCTCTCTTGGAAATATAGCATCGTGCTGTTTTTTATTACCCAAAGCTTCGATACACTTAACAATCGAGAAATAAAATCCAATGTTGATACAACCACACTATAGCATTCTATATATATACATATATAATAGAGTGAGTGGCAGATAGAGTTCTAGGCTTTTAGCCAGTTCAAGGGAAGCTTCACTCTCCTTTACGTCACGAGCGGGACGAGATATATCCCCATCAAAGCAATTTTTTGGCTTGAAAGAGCTTTGATCGATATTGATTGTAAACCCGTTAGAGCGTCATTTTTTTTCTTGAACATTAATACGTAAATCTTAAATACAGATTAAAAACTAGAGTAGGAATATTCTGGCAAGATTTACAAAACAAATTACAATTCCATAAAAGTCTTATTGCCAAATAACTATTATACAGGCATCACAGTTAAATCAATTGAGCTCAAATTGTACGTAGGTTAGCGCAATGTTCCAGCAATGGAAGAACTCAAGTAGGAAGTGCCCCCAGGGCACATCTCCAAGTGGTGAAAGGGGAGGGTGGAGAAATCCAGCTTTGCTTGAGGCTGTTGCGTCAAGGGTTCGAATCCTGAAATATGGATTTGGCTCTTGGATAAGTGCAAGTGTACAAGCAGCCTTCCACCCTGTACCGTTGGAGGCATAACCTGCGATTTACCTCCCTCACGATGCTCCAGGGCAAGGGTGGTGAGAGACCTTTAAGGTTAAACCCAAGAACTCAAGTAGGAAGTTATCACTACGTGATAATTGTAGCCAAGAGTTGTTAGTCTCTTAGAGTAGTTCACTGACGAAGATAGCTCTATGGTTGAATCCATTCCAAAATTATACATTTATTGTAGGCAAAATCTCCTTTCTTTTTTTTCCTTTTTTTTTT